TTTTGTCCCATCTGTGTTTCTGCTGCCGTACAGTACATGTGATATGTAAGTGCTGGCTGGTTAGTCTACAGAACCGAACCGTTCCAGTTCCTGTCTGTTTGAGATCCATCCGGATGATCTGCTGCTCAAAAGGCTTTTGGCGTATTTCTAAATTAGTCCACTGATGTGAGAAGCTAAAATGTGTATAGCTTATAACAGTTTTATTTATTTATACAAACTCTGGAAAAAGAAAAAAAAAGGCAATATATATATTTATTTATTTTGAAGCCCAATTGTGCGTATGCATGCTGGATTGATTTTGTCATACACTGGATTATTCCAAAAGTGGCCTTGCATTTTTATGGAAACGTGCTCCTTTAGTGACAAAGTCAACAGTGTGTTTTGTTTGTTTGATTTACTTGGTTTTTATTTGTTGCCCCTTAGAACTGACTTGTTTACATGGCTTCTTCTTCTTCTTCTTCTTCTTCTTCTTCTTCTTCTAATATGTTCAGTATGCTCTCAGCACTACTGTATATACAGTTGCCTGTAAAACACTGACCTTTAGTTTACATAGTACTTTGTTTTAATTGTGTGTACTTGAAGAGTTGACCGAAAATGCTAATAAATTGTGATACTCTGTGGGAAAAGTCGTCGCTCGTATGTTAATCTGCATCAAAGATGGATGGTGGTTTCAGCTGCTTTGACAGAAATTAGGTAAAAGTTGTGCCTTTGTCCCATAGACTCCCATTGTAAGTTCATACCAGACACCTTTTGGTCTTTTAAATCATACCTAATATATTAACTAAGCGCACATATAATAAGACAGTCCTAAAACAATTGTCATGCTCTTTTACTGATGGTGAGCTAATTTGTAATACCCATCATAAACCAACAGATGGAGCAAGATGGAAATTGAGATGAAATATGAAAAACAGAAACAGATGGAACAAAAAAAAATAGAAACAGTCATGTTATTTTACAGATAACATAATATAAGACAATGAAGTAAAAGTATTTGAAACAAATGCAATTGTGCTGAATGTTCGTCGTCACACAGACCCGAATGTCTTCACCGTGCAGCCCATCAGATACTCCAGGATGTTGAATCGTTTAAATATTTTGTTTAATCAGTTTTTATTAGTAAAGCCTGTCATTTCTGTTCAAGGATGAGATGAATTTAAGCAGACTTGTCAGTGCCACCTAGGGGATACGTCTGGGTGGTGTGATTCTGTCAGGCTTAATTTTTCCATTAAGCCCTAATAATTCTGCCGAAGATTTCCCATGAATCTTTGTGGGTTCTCTCATTTTAATCATGAATTTCCATTCAGCAGTAGCCAAATCTGTTTAACAAAGTTTGACATGATCAAACTGACTGAGAAGTGAAGTGGGAAATTGCTTTATCTGTATCTTGTAGCCTAATAAAGAAAACGGTAAGAGGCAGATTAAAGATAGATCACTGAATTTTTGCCTTGTTCTCTTTCCGTTTATATTTGGGTCAAAATGATGGCCCAGCCCATATTAGTGCATAACTTTCCGTCAGTGTTGATTTACACTTTAAATTGATCTGATGTAACTATCAAAAGTACCATAAAAACCTCTATTATTTACACAAAATACGCTAAACTGTGTATGTTTTGGCTTTAAGAAATGTGTTATTGGCATTCAAGCCATTATATCAAAATATTTGGTAACATTTTAGTTTAGGGTCCAATTCTCACTATTAACTATTGCTTATTATAGTATGCATATAAAGCACATATTTATGCCTTATGATCATATTCTACATCCCTTAACCATACCCGTCAACATCTACCTTATTATTAAGTAGTAATTAGGAGTTTATTGAGGTAAAAGTCGTAGTAGTTAATAGTGAGAATGGACGCTAATCTAATGTGTGACCAAATATTATTTTGTGTTTCTGTAGCATGAATTTCCATTAACTCTATATTCTAGATCTTTTGGTGCTCTATTGACTTTAATGTCAGTTTTGTCTGTTTCCAGGCAAGTTCATTAACATGGATAAACTGATTGAATGGATGCATTAATGAACGTGCACAAGCATATATTCAAATGGATTAATGAATTTGTATTTTATAGGCCATATTTGTCTTTATTGTTTTATTAATTTGTCTCACAGCCTTACTTGTTCTCAATTAATTAATGGTCTTCTTGTCATTATGTGGCCTAGTTTAATCGTTTAGTGTTTTGTGGCTTTACCATATAGTGAAATCCTAGTGTGCTGCAATTTCACTTGTGAAATTACACCGATGAGCACTGGAGGGCAGCAATGAGCCGGGCACGTTGTATAGTTTCAGTTATATTGTGTTCCTGTCAGGTGGCATGTTGATGACTTGGTGGTATGTCATACAATATGTATGAAAAAAAGTAAGAATTTAAAAATAACTTTGATTGTTGATTTATTTGTAAATGTGTTGATTAACCCTTTCATGCATGAATTATGATAACCTCAGTCAGGATTTTTTTCCTATGTGTTTTTATTGCTCTTAGGGCATGAAAAACAAGATTTGATTTTTTTTTTTTTTTTTTTACAAATTTTCCAAAGAGATTTTCAGGTGTCCACTTGAGTGGACAGCATGCATTTATGGTTTAAACTGAAGATATACTATATTAAACATAATACAATAATCAAACAGATAAAGTATGTGTATTTAACAAACTAATCAATACAATTATATCAAATCATGTGAAAACTATAAAATATATAAAAAATATATAAATTCGAAATATTGCAAATGCAATTGAACTTCATACAAGTTGCACTTCGTGTATCTTTGATATCAGAACATGAGGACGTGATTCCATCAGAAATTTCTACAGCCTGTCAACACTGAAAAAAAAAGTGTGTTGGATTTACATGATTTGATAGTGTACATCGGTCCCACATGAACCAATTAAGTTACACAAACATAATTTATTCATGTAACTTCAACATCATGGAATTAAGTCATTTTAAGTTAACCAATTAAGTTGTTTCAAAGTGAATTTTAAAATGCTCCCTGATTGGGTGATTCAGGTATTCAAATTCTTATTCATTTATCCAATGAAGATTTAAATGTATTTTAGCATCACACAACTCACTTTCTAGTATATTGCAAGCATTTAGCTACCTATAGTACTTATTAGCATCCTAAATGCTAAGGTGTACATGCACCTTCAGCAACAGCAGTTGCTATAAGCATAGTTGAATCGGTCCACAGCCTAACCAAATGCTCCACTCTTCTCCACAATGGTAACCCACTGTAATTTAAATGGTTCTAATAATTCCAATGTAATTGAACATTAAACACAATTACACACTAACTTTTTCTCATTTTCTCAAAAAAATATAAAATAACACTTCATTTCAACATTTATTCTCTCGTAATTCAGACATATGCAAAGCATGCTGGGAATTAACATGCACCGCCCAGTTTCAGTTAATGCAACACAAATCATTCATGTAATCCAACACAAATGGATTAAGTAAACTTAAATTGTACATATATTTAAGCAGATTGGACACAATCAAATTAAGTTTGGACAAAATGTAAAGCAATTGTGTTGCTTAAGCTAATTTTAATTAAGCAATTTGAACAAGCAGCAAAAATCATTTTTTTCAGTGAAGGTACAACAGTGGAAACCACTCAGATGCTCCCTCCAGTGTGCCAGAGTATGTCAATTTACCTTTATTAGCTGATAATTCTGATTATGTTCAAGATAGACACATTTCTAGCATAGGCCTCTTCTGAGAAAACCTAGCGATACGTATTTTTCAATCTCATCTGAAATTAGCAGTGTTGGGGCATGCATAACGCATTCAGATTACTTTTTTGATGTTACAAGTAAAGTAATGTGTCACAAGTAACGTGCATTACATAATCAGATTTGTTTTAATGTTACGAGTAAAGTAATGTATTACAAGTAACATGTATTAATCAGACTACTTTTTGATCTAACAAGTAAAGTAATTAATTACAAGTAATGTGCATTACGTAATCAGATTACTTTTTGTTGTTACGAGTAAAGAAAAGCATTACAATATAGTACATTACGAAATCAGATTACTTTTTGATCTAACAAGTAAAGTAATGCATTACAAGTAACATGCATTACATAATCAGATTACTTTTTGATGTTACGAGTAAATAAATGCATTACAAGCAACATTCATTGCGTAAACAGATAACTTTTTGATCTAACAAGTAATGCATTACATAATTAGATTACTTTTTTGATGAAATGAGTAAAGTAATACATAAGTCACATAAATTATGTAATCCCATAACTTTTTTCGATGTCAATGAAATTAACATTCTAATAATACAAATACATTTATTTACAGTAAAAAAACATCACTGCAGATTAAGTATTTTCAAAAACCATATTCACAGTATAAGTATGAATTGTAGCTGAAATATAGCCATTGATGCATGAGGTCCACAATAGTGGACAGGTGATTAATCAGATTTTTCTCCCAATCTAAAATCAAAACTTGGAAAATTTTACTGTCATATGACTCATTAGATATTGCTTGATGCTGCAATATTTTTTTTACCTACAAGAGTCTCCTAGGATAGAAGGAATGGGTGGATATTCCGGAGCAACTTGGCATGTCTGACTGACCTTTGGCCATCTTGGTTTGGAGGGGGAAAAACTCGAAACACAACGGCTTGCAACTTGGTTGCAATGTATAGGATGATGCACCAGGGTCCACTGAAGAGATTGATGCAACTTTGCCATCAAAACCCTTGCAAATTCAAGAAAATGCTTTTTTAATAGCTGTCCACTGTAGTGACCACTATGCATGAAAGCCAAGGGTTAATAAAATGAATATTCGGTGGTGAACAGCCTAATACTAAAACATAATAAGAGGAAAGACATGAGTTTTCATTTAAATTGCCCCCTAGATATATGGGGAAATGGAACAGAGATAAAAATTAATATAAATCATTATATCTCAGGACGTGCGTCTTTTAGCCCTGCGGCTTTAAGAGAGTGGGCGGGGCTAAGTCTGTGTCTGGATGTGCCACGGCCTAGCCAGCATCCCACTCTGTTCGCACTGGCGGTGTGAAAAATATCGGATAGAGGTGAAGGTAAGCTGCTGCACACTTCTGCTTTCTCCGTGTTATTATTAGACCACTGATGCATATGCGGCGGCGCACATTCAGTCACCTAAAGTTAGAAATAATGATACAGTTGTAAAAATGGGAGCGAGTCAATGAACCTGTTGAAGAACAATAAGTTAAATCTCATCATGCTAATCTGAATGTGATTTACAGGACAATGATATATGGCTGAGATTATACTGTCTGACGCTTAACTAATAGTCTCCATTCATAAATGTAACACATTTTCGTTCGATTTGAGATTATACATAGTTCATTGCAATTCATATTGTAGCACAACAATTGAGACTGACCTACTTTACATTCCCTATTATTTCTTATTAGTTTTGTCCCCTTTTGTTTAATAATTTCAGACTGTGTTAAAGTTGTGTAAACAATCACATCACACATCAGTTGTCCTGAGAAATTACACCTGCTGCTTCTGTAACCCAACTACTAAAGTTCAATCTATTGTTCTATAGGCTAAGTTACCCTAACCCTCTCAGTTTGATGGCCATCAGATCACTGACTGATTAATAGGAAATGTTCATCCAGGAAAGTAACATACATGTCTTACTTGTGTATACATACAACCCTCTAAGGACACACTGAAGCTCAAGTCGCCATTAAATACTAAATTTTTTTATTATTTTACTCTCAATACTTTTTTCATGAAATGCAAGAACAATGCAAGTGAAAAAAAAAAATCTACATAAATATAATATAATATAGGCCAACAGAGAAGGAAATGAATAGTTGAATAAAGTCGTTATTTTTGTTTGTTTTTTGCGCACAAAAAGTATTCTCGTCGCTTGATAAACTTAAGGTTGAGCCACTGTAGTCACTCGGACTATTTTAACGATGTCTTTCATAACTTTTGGGCCGGCCAGTTTCGATCCCTTAAGAAGCCTATGGAGGAGTGATCCAGCTCTCAGATTGAATCAAAAATATCTTAATTTGTGTTCAGAAGATGAACGAAAGTCTTACGGGGTTGGAACAACATGAGGGAGAGTAATTACTGACAGAATTTTCATTTTTGGGTGAACTAACCCTTTAATTTATTTTTCAGGCTAGACGAGCCAATGCGCATGTGCAGTCCTAATTTAAGCGCGAGTCTCAGGTTTTTACGGGAACCGGAGCTTTTAACGGCAGCTGCAGTGATGCAATGTCTTTATTAATCAGACTTTATTAATTAATACTCTTTTACTTAGAAGGCGGGACGTATTCCGCCATATTGCACGTTGCATTTTCTCCCATTCATAATAAATAGGAGTGAACTGTCTTTGAATATAGTCATTGGTAAAGCTCAGCAGGCAATGAAATGGTACAGTATGTTCTAAACTTATTTTTTGCCTCTAACTCAATTACAATTAAAGACCATTTTTAGTCGCCTCTCGTGAAATTAAGTCGCATATGCGAGTGATTTACTCACCTAAAATAAAACATAAAAAATTACTGATGTCATTCTAAACCTGTACATTCTGCATAACATTAAAGAATATATTTTAAAGTGCTTTCCATTGACTTCCATTTTATGGATAAACAAAAAAGCAAAAAAAACAAAAAATATTAATATATATATTTATATATATTTATATACATATTTATGAATTTGGCAGACACTTTTATCCAAGTGACTTACATTGCATTCAAGGTACACATTTGATTAGTTCTTGCTTCCCCTAAGAATTGAACCCATGATATTGTCATTGCTAGAACTTCTCAAAATATCTTCTTCTTTGTTTCATTGTTGGGTGATTCAGAACCCATTTTATCATTCTAAAACACCAGTTGTGTGTTTCAGCCAATGAAAACCATGGCAGCTCCATTCAGATCACTTGTGGAAGATTATCCGAGATACCTCAAATCATTCGAGCTCTTTCTGGAGCGCTCATCAGAGCACCAGTGCATGCAGGACTTCATTCATAATACACTACCTGACATACTGGCAAGGTGCTTTATCCTTCTTGATAAATGTCATATTTTATTCATTTAGCCTGTCCTAGCTTTGTAATACAGAATGTGCCAGCAGATTTAACAATGACATGATATAATAATATTATCTTGCCCTTATTATATTCTCTCTCGCTCTCTCTGCAGCATTGGAGGGGGAAGACCCATTCTCAATGTAATAGGAGTAGGGAGTGGAGCAGGTACACTTTTAATAATAACTGAATTATCAACATTCTGTTTATATCATCATTTCATATATCAGATGTGAATAACAGAGTTCACTTCTCAGTCATTCATATTCATCTCATTTCCAGGTGAGATTGATCTAGAGATGTTCACTCAGCTACACCTGAAACATCCACATGTCAAAGTCAACAATGAAGTGGTGGAACCAAGCAATGACATGCTGCACAAGTATAAAGGTACCAAACATTTTATTGCTGCTCATTTAGGTTAAATCATATTATACGCTTTTACTAACTCTACCAGTAAATGGCTATTAGTGCTGTTTTTCTTCCTTTAATTCTTTCTGTTCAGTTCGGGTATCAACCACTCCAGGTCTTGATCACATTAACTTTGCGTGGAACAAGATGACAGCGTCTGAGTTTGAAAAACACTGGCAAGAGAAAAACTCTGGGAAAAAGATGGACTTCATTCACATGATACAGGTTTTGACTTTTTCATTCATTTTATCGACTTTAATTAAAGTTATATTTATAAGGTCTGTGTATCAAAGATGTTTTGTTATGTTTGTAGAATATTAATATCAATCTGCTTAACAGATGCTGTACTATGTCAAAGATCCAGAGGCCACTGTTTCATTTTTTCGGAATCTTCTAGAAAAAGATGGGAAACTCTTGATCATTCTGGTGTCAGGTACAGTTAGGGTTGGGAATGGAAAATCGATTCTAATTCTGGAATGGGATACTTAAAGTCAGGTATCGGATATTGATCAATTCCTGTGTGCATATTTTAATGTGGTTTTAAACCATTCAAGTGCAAGAGAACTTGGCACTCGTGTGCTGTTTTCTCTACTTTACACACATCCAGAGCGTGCGCTAGGGGTGGAAATGGTACACAAAACTGACGGTTCGGTACGTACCTCGGTTTTGAAGTCACGGTTCTGGCTGTCATTTTCACGTCAGATTTATTCAAACATACATTTAATAATCAAGACATCACTAATAGGTTAAGTAAAATATAATAAATATATAGTAGAGGCTAATGTATTTATTTAGCAAAATAGTTTATTTCTCTGGCGAACTAACAAGCTGTGGACACTGAATGACTTGCCTGAGGTAATATGCTACGTGATATTGTGTACAAGATGTTTCATTGACGACTTTCCGCGGATGAAACACTGATTGATCGATACATTTCAGTAAGTTGTTCTGTATCTTTCAACATACCTTCATATGTTCATTCATGTTTATTCCGTAACTAGTGAATAGGCAGAGATGATCACGTCTATATCAGTGGTCTCAAACTCGAGTCGCGGCCCAATATTCAGAATCAGAATCAGAATCACTTTATTCGCCAAATGCATCAGCAGACACACAGGAATTTGATATGGCAATCAGTAACACACAAAACTCGACAATATTTTGTGGCCCCCTACTTGACATTAAAGTTTAATGTTAGTGCGGCCCGTTGTTGCGTGTGCCGCGTTTTTTTTTTTAAATCCCTTATGGGCTACCATAGATAGTCTTGTGACAGCTTACGGTGGGTTTGTTGTCAATAGTTGTCATAGACAACCGCGAAGTACAAACATACTGCGCCTGGAAAAAATGAGCGCGTCGCTTCAATTATGAGCGCGCTTGCCGCGCGCCTACATTTGAAATAACGAACTTGAGCGCGCAAAATATGTGAGCGCGATATGTGAACAAGCCCCTTGGCGAGCTACCACCAATCAGGCCACGAGCTACTGGTAGCTCGCGAGCCACGTGTTGGAGACCCCTGCTCTAAAACAATGTGAGAATAATCATTTTGAGCTTGTAATATGTGTCCAACAGGTTGATAAGAAGGTTTGCTTTGATTTGTGCAAAGTCAGTAATTTGCCTGAGACACTATATGTAGAAAGAATTCAATAAGACGGGCAGACATGACTGCAAATATTTGTATTTCAAAAGCAATAATTATTTTTCTAAGTATAATAAAAGGAAATGTGCCTTTCAAAAAAACATTCAATGTCATATTAATGTGTTGTATAAAGAAAATAAAAAGGACATGAGCAAATATAAGTATCACAAAGATGTGTTATAAGGAAAAGACAAAGAAAGTTTGTAAAATTAACTTCAACTTCATGAACTGACAGCTCATGAAGAACCAATCATGTACAGAAAGGAATATTCAAATTCAGAGGAACAGTTCAAAAGAAACGTTAATAATAAAGATTGAGAAGATTGGATCAGTTGTGCTCCTTTTTTGGAATACTTGAATACTATTTTTTTGTGGAATACTTGATGCGGCCCAGCCTGACCCAGACTCTACCTCCAGCGGCCCCCAGTTAAGTTGAGTTTGAGACCCCTGGTCTATACAGTGATCTGTCGCGCCACATCAAAGAGCGTCAAAGCGGCATTTTTATTTAAATTTCGTGATAAAATTGACAGAATTTGAAAGATGACACTTTGTTTCTTATCGAAAGTAACAAAATGCAGAGCTATTACAATTATTGGTGGTTAGGCTAATGCTGTATTCGCCGTGTACACATAAGACACAAGATCCAATGAGTCAGGGCTGGCCAAGGCAGCAGGGGACGGGGCGTGTTCGGTACGCCATGAGAGTATCGCGATACATATCGTGGTTGGTGTATCGCAGTTTTTCGGTTCGGTTTGAATATCGTTACACCCGCGTGTGCACAAAAAGCCGTCTCTCAGTCATATAGTCCACGAATACTAAATTAAGTTCTCTTTTGTGTCTTCTTGCACTCAAACGAACAAATACACACACAAAATTATGTCAGAATATCTTCGTAAACATAGTCGGTTATGTCTTAAAGCTGCTGTCCGTAACTTTAAGTTAAAAATAATCCAAATTAATTATTTTAAAAAAAACATCTTCAGCCAGTGTTCAAAACTATCTGCTTGCCATAGCTAGATTCAAAACGGTTAGCTTGTAATAATGATTTTAATTCCAGTGGTACTGGTGGGTTTTCGCGGGAAATTCTAGCATGTCTTTGCGTCATTACATCACACCCGTACACATAAACAAGGAGTTTCGGCTAGCCGGCTATACTGCGCGTGAGGAGATGTAGAGATAGGCTTTTCTCGCAGCACTTTACATGATTAAACTTATGGCGGATCAAGAAAGATCCAGACAACAATTGTCAGTGTCAACTGGAGATTCAGCAGTTATAAAACCCAAAAGACTTCGTACTTCGGATTTAAGGTGGAAAGAGAAAGAAACCGTCTCATGCGAACATCGGTGGGGCTTTTGAAAGGTGCGTGAACTCCCGAAAGGGGTTCGAAACGGAAGAAGAGACAGCTTTTTCTGCTGAACAAGTAAGACATTTCAATAGTTCTATCGTGTAACAGTACGTTTTCTTAATTCACACAGTTATGGAGTTTCCTTTGTTGTGCCTTTCTCGTTTAACGTTAGCTATTATGAAGAATATGAATTCTGAACTACACAGGTAATCATAAAACACATTAAATAACGTTAGTCACGCAATGCTGATGTTGTTAACATGAACAATTTGAGAACAAAGTAGGCTATGATTAGCACGGTTGCTGTAAATCGCGCTGATTAAATCTAACGATCGCTTGTCATGTCGAATGCTTTTCCCCCCTTAGTTGATCAGAACAAAAATGGATGTTACTTGTTCAGAAGACATTTTCCGGTGAAAATTCTTATGTTGGAATCTGTGATTCTGAATGACAGTATCCACACAGCGCGGTGATTGACAGCAGCACTCGCCTCAAAGCACTGTGTTCATCCGCGCTGTTTCATGCCGATTTACAACCCACGTAAAGATGATAATTCCGCGAATCACTGCAGTTACAGATTTCGAACAGAGATGGCGACAAAAAGGGAAAAAGCTACGGACTGCAGCTTTAAGTGAACGTAAATAGTTGAGAGAAAGAAAACTCATGTGTAACAGTATAATGGATCCATGCATTAGGTCTTAAAGTGACAGTAGGCTAATAAACCTGCTGCCATCTGTGTCATTACTGTTTATCAAAGAACAAAAGAAAGATAAAATCATACTATATATATCATTTATAAAAAGAAAACTACGAAGTGTTATTTTACATTTGACTTCCATTTCTGAACTTTGTTCAGTTGGATTTATTTGTGCTATTGCTAAATTGTTCATTTGTTCTTATTGGATACTGTATACTTGTCTTCAATAATGTTTGAAATTGATATTAGTTAGTTGTTCTTTAGGCTATTGATTTTTGTTCATGGTATTCAGCTGCAACAGAATCTTTTGCAAAAAGACAGAATAAATAATTTTGATATCTAAATGTTTGACTTTTTTCCATATTTTAATCGAAACTGTGATTGGATATGAATCGGAATCGATAAGCAGAATCGGAATCACTTGAATTCAAACGATACCCATCCTTGAGTTCAGTAGATGCTCTGAGGTCCAAATTTTGCTTTAACTCAACTATGATCAGATTCAGAGAAAACGGAAATCAAATCAAAATAAATTCAATCAAAATCCATTGTTTGTGTATGTAATGGGTTTCACATTTGTAGGGCAGTACAGTGGGGTCTAAAAGTCTGTAACCACAAGTTAATTTTTTTTTCCTGTTGTTTCTTTTTTTTTTCTGTTCTGTTTAAGGACAAAAATGACCTTAGTTTTGCTTCTGCTCTTCATAGGCGAGAGTGGATGGGGCAAATTATGGACGACCTTTAAACAACAGCTCTGTAACACTGAGATCAGCCAGTGTGTCACTACAGGAGATATAAAGACCTTCTTCGATTCTGAGGGCATCCCCTACCGTAACCATGAGCTTCTGTCCCAGATGGACATCACAGAGTGTTTCACTGAGGGAGACCCGGTGGGAGAACTGCTGCTGGATTTCCTTACTGAGGTGATAGAGTTCAGTAAGAATGCTCCTGAAGACCTGAAGAAAGGAGTGCTGGACTTACTGAGACATCCTGACTGCAGTAAAGAGGTGGACGGCAGGATCATTTTCAACAACAACCTGGGAGTATTAGTGGTTGAGCCGTAGATATAAAGCAGTAGCTTTATATCTCACCTCCACAAGGCCTTTGCAGTTAATATTCAGTCTAATACAGTGGTTCTGAACCTTTTTGACTCCAAGGCCCCTGATTGTCCTCAACAATATTGAAAGGGCACATGACTTTCCCAGTTATTTATGATTTACTGGATAAGGATTTTTACTCAATTAAAAAATTTCTACCTCATAAAATATTTTAGAGCTTGGCTGTGGCATAACTAGAAAAAAATTATAAATATTAAAAATGTCTATCAAGTTGTAAGATTTTATTAATTTATATAATTTTTCCAGGTCTAGAAATCACACTTTTAAAATGATTATATATCTAGGTTTCCAAGACAATGGCAAACAGCAGTTGCTGAGTGGGTGAATTAAAATAAGAAATATATTGATTTTTTTTTTTTTTATAATGTCTCATTTTAAATAATTTTAAGTAATTTTGAGGCCTCCTTTGGAAGTTTGCTCTGGTTGAGAATCACTGGTCTAATGGAAGTACAAAATATCTGTATTTTCAATTTTTTTTTAAATAATCTGTTTCTATACTGATTTCAACAGAGATAATGAGAAAAGTAACAGTAGCATATATTTTTAATGCGTTTATTAAACTACTGTCTCCTCATTCTAGGCACCTGCTGTTCTGAAGCATGTTGTAATATTGTATCAATGATATTGTTATGGGTGAAAAAACAGGAAAAGGAAAACTATAGAGAACAATGCATCAACATCAAACAGAGCTGTTTAAATGAAACTCTGTACATGCTTTGTGAAACTTGCATGAGCAACAAAGTATACCTTTGTATGTTGACTTATTAACTCATAAGGTCAAAGAGTTTATGATTCTACTACAACAGTCTTTATGATGAAAGAAATGAGATTGTATTGTTTGGTGACTAGTTGTGTTGTTGTGACCTTATACCTCATTTAGGTTTGGAGAGATGTTTAATACATAACCAGACAGGACAAAGGTTTGAGGTTAAATAAACATACACTTCTACTACAACGTTTTATTTGGTTACTGCCTGCAATGGGCCTGCCTTCCCTTTGTGTTTGCTTGCAGTATTATTCTAAAGTAACTTGAATATTGTCTTGTGTCTGCCAATATCTCAGTATTTCTGCCCCACATGACCACAAAACATCATATTAAACTGATGTGAATAACTTTTTAAAAGTGTCAAATTAAACCATATACTGTACCAAAAAAAAAAAAATCCTTTTAAAAACATCACTGCTCATCGAGACGTGTCTCTGGTGAAATTCAGCCATGCTTTAAAACAAAGGTATAAGTTAAGACAAGTCTGCCTTGAAAATGTCAGGATCAGACGTTACAGCGTTGAATCTGGAGAGAGAGAGAGAGAGAGAGAGAGAGAGAGAGAGAGAGAGAGAGAGAGAGAGAGAGAGAGAGAGAGAGAGAGAGAGAGAGAGAGAGAGAGAGAGAGAGGGTCTTTGAAGACTGCAGAAACGACAGAATTAAACCAGCTGCTCACACCTTTATCAGCTCATCCAGAGAATGATCAATGTCTGACATTGTTACTTTCTGACATTGCTTGCTTTATTAAATAATTTGTTTGAATGGTTAATTTTTTTTTTTTTTTTAAAGATTGTCAAACCTTTTAGTTAACTAACATTACCACCATGAAAAATCAGAAAGAGCTTTATTGCCAAGTATGCTCACACATGCAAGGGTTTTGTCTTGGTGACAACAAGCTTCCACAGGACAGACAGAATAACAGCCACAGGACAGATGATAAAAATAAAATAATTAAGTAAATCTATATCTAAATGTGGCATTTTAATGGCAGTAATGTATTCCCGCCAACTACTGGACTGAACTAGATGGTGCACAGGAGAGCAATGGCATCTGCTACGATTTCACTTTTAAATCGCGTAATTTTATATTGGTTTTCTCCTGAAACTACCAGAGCACTTGGAAAATAAGCGAGCTGTTTACTTCTTCGGAAGAAAAAAGTGATGGAACGACATGATGGTGAGTAGGCCTAATTATGATGGTTTTTCTTTTCTTTTCTTTTTTTTGTCTGTTTTGTTGCTAGGATTAAAGTGTATTTTAGCATAAAAATTTACACACAACATCACATGAATCCATTCAAATTTGTACATTCAGGGTTGGCTTTACCTGAAGCACTCTGCAGACCACAAAGTTATTCATAAGTTAATTTATTAGGTTTCTCTAATAACATTTCTAAGTAATACAATGTACTGCAGCATCATGTGCCCTTCTCTGAACAGCACTGCAGAAGGAAAACACTTTGCATTTTAAGTGACTGACTGTCGTCTCTGGTCAATAATAACCAACTGCAGAACCATTCGTCACAGCAGTCTGAGGACAACAGCGCCAGGCCAGCAGTCTCACACACCGGTGTTGGGGTGTAGTTTAGTTTTTGGGTGGGGTTCGCATTCTTTAAGGTTGAGCTTATAGTTCTAGTGAAGGGTAGGGTAGGGTTGTTGAGGCTGGTTACGCGATCGTCAGCACTCAGCAGTCAGCACCACCCTAACTTCAGGTCTGACGCTGTTGTCCTCAGACTGCTGCTGAGACTTGGGGTTCTGCAGTTCTCTCTGGTACACAGTGGAACAACACAGTATATAATGTCTCCATCTACTGGCAAGTTTGTGTAATTTAAGCAACTGGTGATTTTATAAGGGAGATCTATGGTCTATTCTGCAGTGCAAAATACCTACAATCTCCACCCAGGCCTCCTTAACCAAATGATCTCAGCTTACCAAAGTGTCATAGGTGAATAATTTAGGCTACTTTTGTGAATTTAGTAGCAAGTGAAAACATGTTTATATCCAAATGAAAATCATTAAAGTCAGCATGAAACAAAAGTTACGATAATCTTTTCTTCCCTATTGTGGCATATATCTGAGTAAAATGGCTTCTCGAACAAGAAAAAATGTTGGATGGGACTTGGTTCTGTCCATCGGGAATTGATTGGATGATTGGATCATTGTGGTTTGCTAGTGCTGCGATCTCTTGTGAGTGACATGTTGTCCTGCCCTTGTGCAGAGAAGAGAAGAGATGTTGTTTTGATTAAAGATTATGGGGGCACTAATTACAAAAAATATATATATTATGTGCACGCGCGGATAGATTATTTATCTGTAATTTAGTACATTTTTGTTTCATGGTGACTTTAAAAATGAGCTATTTGTGCTTGATGATACATCTTTGCATCATGCATGTATTCAACATGCAGCCTGAATCAATATTTACATTTCTTGTCATGCATTTGTTAAATGTGACTAGATGTTTCATTGTATAACACGCAATAGACGTTTGGTGGAATAATATACCAGTATAAATGTAGTAAAGCTGAATAAAGTTCAAATGTACAGTTGTATAAACCACCAACTGGCCATACCAGTGCTACAGAAACCTTGCAATATTGTGGTTTTATTCAAATGTACGAGTAAATAGAAAACAGAACCATTTTAGTGCATTTAATGTGCCATGACAAGCATTTATCTTTTCCTTTGTCTTCTTCAGTCTGGGAAAGTTCTGCCGAATGTTGACAGTGATGGTCAGGGAGTCTTCAGGGGTCATTCTCCCAGCAGGGGCTAAACACTTCATCTCTGAGGTATGGATGAATGACCACAGTTGCTCTGGAATGAGTGGAGTGTAACCTGTCCATATGTTTGCATATGGCAGTGGTCTGGCAGAAGTGAGATTATGATGTTCGCCAGCAGGTGGCGCTGTAGTTTTTACAAACATTGTCCTCATTCATGCTGAGCATGGTGTCCATGCCCCATTTGTAGTCGGTATACAAGGGTAAACAGGATGCTCATTCTGATATCATGCCTTCACCCAAAATCACAGGCGCATTAGTAGAAATTATGTGAAGAATTAGACAATAAGAACAGCACCTGCCACTAGTTTAGCCGAGTTTCCCCAGTGCTGCACAGATTGAATGAGAGTAACTAATGAATACAATATATCCTAACAGAAAACAACAGACTGAATTAAGAAGTTTGAATCGTGACACAGATGAATAATTGTGTGCACATGTGCTCAGTGGTCGACTAGTAAACAAGCACAAAGAATTTCAAAAGATTGCATATATTGTTCCCTAACGTTGTAATACACACCTGTCCCCTGAAAGATAGTCACCCTAATTTGTATTTACCTCAGTGTGCGCGCAACCGCTGACACGTTTTGAGAAACAGACAGGTGCATGTGACGACATGTTGATAAAACAGTGCTGGGATCTCATCTCAATGGCTGATCCGTGGTCGCCAATCATTTTTTTCTGCAAAACTTTGTACTCAATAATATATTAATAACCTGAAACATTTAACTCTGCTTTTTCCCCCCATTTTTATTGAAATGTCTTTTATTGAAATTTCTACTTCACTTGCTTTACTAAAGACGTGAATGTTGCTAAATGTTTCAGTTTCTACATAATGTTCAATGTCTAAATGTATCTAAATGTATTTTAAATGTACTAAATGCATTTTGTATGCACTGATATAGCCTATAATATATATGTGTGTGTGTGTGTGTGTGTGTGAGAGAGAGAGAGAGAGAGAGAGAGAGAGAGAGAGAGAGAGAGAGAGAGATTCATACATAAATAGCCTACATTTTTAATGAAAAAAATTAATTTACATTCAACAGTATTATATTATATTAGACTATATGATATTAAAATGTATTTAGTAGAGTAAAAATGCATCATGTATACCATGTAATACAATATGTATGCAATATTATATATATATTTATTTTTTTTGTAACGGGAGTCCCTGCTCGGTCTCTTTATACTGACCTGCAAAATGTTAAAGACGCCTGCTGTAGATTATTAAGAGGTGCAGCTTACATAAATACTTTTCAAATGCTTACAAAAATCTTTTGAACTTACATTGAATTTTAAATATTACACTGCATTGATCTGGCTGTTCTGTGATCAACACTTACATCCCAGCCATACTCGAATCTCATTGACAGTGAAAAAAGGCGATTGTCCACATTTAACTCGAACTCCTTCCTTCCCTCCTCCTTTTTCCTCCGATCATTCCTGTTCCTCCCTTTCCCTCCCCTCTCCCTCCTCTTTCATCACTCAGCACT